CTTCGAGTCTGTGGTGATGAGGCTCATACGGGAAATTAACCTCTGCCTCTAATTGAAGAACATTGAACATTGAACATTGAACATACCGTATAGACGTCGCGGTCTACCGTATTCGTGTTTTTCATTGCTCGTTCTCGTCGGTTTTGGTTACATGGGATCGTTCTTCGTTATCGGGTTGGATACGTTCGTTCCAGTTCGGAATTTATTTTCGATAGCGCGTGCAAATTTGTTCATTCCAGTTGAGGAGTGTTCGTTATTGCAAAGTTCAAGCCTGTCCATGCAAGATCACGGTGCTGGTATAATTTTATACGTGTATTGAACTTACGAGCTCAAGCAGACGCAACATCCAGCAACCTCGCAGTTCAGAGTCCTAGCGCGCTCTTGAAGATCCGGCACGTCTAACCTCCTTAAGTTTCTCCGCCACTTGTCAGGCGGCTTTGCAGTGTCGAGTGGAGTTGTAAAACGCAAAGTGCCATTTCTTACCCCTCCCTTGTCAGCTCTGTAGGCGGCAAAGCCTACCAGGCTAAGGTGTTAATTATTTGTCCAGTCCTTCAACCATATCTCCGTTAGGGCAATACGATCCGATCCAGCAGCTTCTACCTCCAATTCTTTCCACTTGTTCCAGATACTGCATACGTTACTATACAGTATGCTGAGGCAACTGGACCCCATGTTTAAGCAGACTTTATCTCAGGGAGTGCTCACCCCATTTTTTTGTTTGTCGTCCCGCGGGGGTTCACAGTTGATTTCCCTGCTAATTATGCTCTTCTCGACCACTGCATCCCACGGTGTAGTGCAGCCTAGCGGTGATCGTTGGAGGATCGGAATTAAGTCATTCTTTGGCAAGCGTATCACAGGTGATGCTAGTTCCTGACGCCGACACTTTCTACCTTCTGTCAGGGAGGATGGCCTTCTGCATGTGATGCCTGTGCCATTCTTCCGCATCAAATAATCCGATTCTATCCTTACCCAGGAATGGGTGCTATCGTGGATCTCGACTGACACGGCCAAGAAAATATCCCTGTACCTTGGGTTACCGAATTCGACGAGGACCAGTCTCCCATTCGCTATTATGTTCCCATCCTCTTCCTTCCACCTTCCCAGCCACCGCACTCCCTTTACAAGGGCGTGAACAGGGATGCCTACCAACCTCAGTAGATCGATCACCCTCTGCCGGAGTTCCCTTGCTCTTTGGTGGGTAGCTCTGCAGAATGGCTCAGGTATACCCTTTATAAGCGCATTGCGGTTACGTCCCATAGCCAGTTAGGCTTGGTTTGCCAAACTTCCGACCGCACTTGCTGGCTTATTTTCTGCTTCCTGAGCTCTTTTTAATTCCTTCGCTTGTTTCTCGATGGCACCCATAACCTTCTGAAGCTCCCGATCCATATTCGCTCGTAATGCAGTCGAATCTACCGCCGGTTTTAATTCACGCCTCTCGTCCCTCTTAACACTGGTTACCTGGTGTATCACAGGGTCCTCTACGCCTGTGTTAGCAACCGGTTTATTTTGACCCTGTTTTCTTCTTTTACGTGACGGCTCCTTAGGTGACTTGATCCCTATTAGGAACTTTGGGAGTGGGTTGCTCGATCTACTCTTACACGTATGTTCACAATTAGGGCAAAATCACTGCAGGAACCTGTGGAATACGTGCAGTTCCAGTGCCTTAGAGCACAGAGTACTACAGTGAGGGTGGTACCAGGTATCGCAGCCATCACATCTTATGCCGTCCTACACATCAAGTTTGCAACTCTCTCCTACAGGGGAACTAGCCTACTGGAACAGACTCCTCAGCGTCGGCAGTGCCATGTTTGTGCGATCTACCAGAGCTAGTTCTTCTCATAATGTGAACACAAATGTAAAGCAGGAGGAAAACAAGAGCTAAGTAAGCAAAATTTAACGGCCAAGGTGGTCAGTCGATATGGTGCTCCCCAAAACAATGAATAATGTACAAGCATGGGTATGCATGTGTGTATTTTTTCCTATCATTGAACATATTCGTGGATTTAAGCACATCGAGGAGTATGAAACGCAATACAGATGTAGGTATTCAAGAGTAGGCTAAGATGACTCTAGCCTGTCTTTTTCATGTTACGTGGTCATACCAGTGCTTTCCAGATAAACGTTCAATTGGCTATTACTGGATAGTACTGGAGAGAAACCCTCTAAGTAAGGCGAGAAATTCAGAAGCTGTCGAAACTCATCGTGAACACTGCAGCTTGATCGCGCAAGTAACTGGAAGCTCGTTTGACATCATCCGTTAGTCCTGTGACCTGACCTGAGATGCCTTTACGCAGTTATTCCACGTACAAGATAAATTTACTCAAACAATGAAGCACTTTATAAAAGTAAAAAGCATTTTACATTTTCTGTGTAGTAACTTCTTATAGCAATTTTTGGGTGGTAATTCTATCTGCCATATTTTTCAGCCCTCTTCGTATTTATCGTTCAACAGAATCCAATAAAACTTCAGTAAATATGGAATTAGTCCGAAAGGCATCTAATCAAGCGATGCGCATCTTATTACAAACACTTAGTGATAACACTTTCAATAAACAAAAGACCGGAAGTTTGTATTTCTCAATGTTTTCCTGCGTAATTCATCAGCACTAATAATGAACCATGTATTTCTGTAAACTTGACACGTATCACATCGTGTAGCAGGTCTCTTCAACCCGAATGTATGAATTACTCCACCCTAGGATTAAATATAAAACATAACCTGAACCTATAAATTTAGGGCGAAATATAGCGCAAATGAGAGGCCAGTCCAACATGAAAGTACAAACCAGCTACGATAGTAACCCATTAACAGCTTCATGGCGTGCCGAATAGTGTGGGCGGATCATGAGGAAGCTTCAAAAAATATCATATACATATTATATGTAATAATATTATCCGAGCACTTTAAACAACACTGAAACACGGGAAATACTTGTACGTATTTGAACGAAACATCGTCTGACCGTATGGTTAAAACTTTGTGTAATTTTTTCAAGGTACTTTCTTCCGCTACCGTTGATGAGAAGCTGACGCTAGAGGCCAGCTAAAACGTGCTTTTAAGTGCTCCGCTCAGCGTGTAAAACGTCGCTGTTAATTGTGAATGGGCGAACCGTCAGCTTCGTAGATCGTTTTGCTCACACCCAAGGTGTATTGACACGCCACTTTCACCTTTTACCTACGACTTCTTTTCTACTCGCAACGAGCTTTTGTTTTACCGGGTGCACTTTACCTGTTTACGCTCAACCGCGAAATTGTCACTTGTCCCGGTGAGTCACACTGCATCGCTACACGTGTAAACCTTTCACTGCAGGTTTGATCCTATAAACCGTTGGTCACGAGCTATCCGTCTTCTTACTCTTTCGGAGCAATAGTCGTATTGCTCTTTGTCATACTCGATCGTTGAGGTGAATCGTGTTTGGTTATCGTAGATGGTGTTAACTATCTAAAAAGGGTATTCCTACCGGTGACCCGGATGAGATGGAATAGCTTACAGGAGTTACCCATGGCGGTAGCACGTTCCACCTCTAACGCGCGTTGAATCCACTAGACCTCACGGTCTCTACGTAGGCTTGCATTAAGTTCACGTCCCCTTACGAGTCGTGTTTCATTATGTTTGCTGCCGGTCGGTCTAGGCTGACGTGCGTCTAGAAGGCTTAGAGACTCTGCAGAGATTCAGGGTGTCACGGCGCGACGTGTCAAACCACAACTAACTAAGCCAGCAGAATGCAGAGTATTCTTGATAAGCGACCCGTGCTGGTTAACGTCATCGGGTGGCGTTGGTACTGGTTTTGCAGCTAGTGTGTTTTGTCAGAGAGTTGAACAGGCTGGTTTGGACAGCTTATCACAGTCTAACCGTCGTGTCGTGCATTTGGGACGCCCACAGAAGCACACGGACAACTTAGCGCATACTAAGGCGTGGTTGGATTCAAGGGGAGTGCTCCAGTATGATCGGCGGTCTTGAAAGCTGCCCCGCCATTTGATACATTATTGACGATGGTGGAATGAAAACGTGAGGAGAAGGCACTTAATGCAGCACTGGTAGATAAAAAGGAAACAAACATCCCAAAAGCACGTTCAAGGGTTGAACTACCCAAATGTTTGCTGTGGTTGCGAACCTAAAAATTCAAACACTAAAACTGGGAATGAAATCAGAACTCAGCACTAATCTATGAAATCTTCTTGCAATAAACGGAAAAGCGGGAATGTACAAGGATGTCTTGTCCAATAAAAAAGAGTTCATAGCTTGTGCAAAATCACCACCTGTGACGCATGAGTCTATGTTTACACATGTCCATATGGGGTTTATAATCGTAATGGTCTATTATTATACAGTTCAAACGTGTTCCTTTAATCAATTTTGGTGGTGGACCGCAATATATGAATGTCCAGAGGGATTGATTGTCGTTGTTGTTGCAACTGTTATTGAAGTGTTCGTTCATGTTTTGTTTAATATCGTCGTCAGTGGATTCCATAGTTGGTGGAATATCTTTCTGGGCGTTTCTCCTCTCTTCTTCCTCCGCCCGTTGTTCTTTGCTTTCCTCAGCTAGTTTCTTTTTGGCCTCTACCTGACGTGCTATTTCCTCCATTTGTTGCATGAGAGTTTTCATTTCCTCGGATTCCCCCTCGTTGAGAAATGCAATTACCTCGTCGTTGGATATGACTGTTCCTTGTTGTTCTGCTGCTTGCTGTAGTTCTTTTTTCTTCTTTCGTGCTGCTTGCCATTTTGCTACTTGAGCTGCTGTGACTTTGCGTTTTGCCTTGGGTTCACCCTCGGTTGTCTCATTAATATCTCTCTTTCTTTTCTCCGGAGGTTTATTAGTAAAAGTCGAAGGAGTAGGTTGTGTTGTGTGTGTTTCCGGAAGCGGGGATGTTGTGGGTTTATCCTTTTCTATTTCATAGAAGTCGACGTTGCCGTCCTCGTCAAGATCCATGGTTATGGCTTGATGTTTGCTGTATAATTTCCGCTGTTCGCAGTGATGATTTGAGTTCAACTTTTGCAATCCTTCGGCAGTGTTATTTACTTGTTTAATGAGGTAGACTGCATACTTATGTGACCAAACTAACTAAAAATGTAGGCTTAGAAACTTCTTACCATTATCAAACCGGATGGTCAATTGGTCATGCTCACTGATTTCACATGCCACCTAGTGTTGAGAGGTACTACTCAAACTTGTGAGTGGTATGCAAAATAGTTGGAGACTTTTTTTCACTATTAAAAAGTAAAAAGAACACCGAGGGCAAGTTGCTGGGTCTCAAAGAATAACTACCGATTGCTGCATTCACTACCCGGTGTGCTGCTTCGAACTGCGATTGTATGTTTCAGATGGGATTTCTGTGTTATGTGTGCCAAATTAGTGATATCCCAACTGTAATATACAATAAACAACTATGCTCGACCGAGCACCGCCTTGTGGAATTGTCGCACTTGGGAAATGTTTATTTGGCTCAAAACAGTACTAGAAAGTACGGAATACTTGCCAGTGGTGCCAGATAAACATAATGAACATATACACAAAGCGAAAGCGTGTCACAGGATCCACCTTATACGGGTGACTGAGTGAAAATTCGTGTTAAGCAAACCACAAACACCAACCAGTAGCCCCGCAGCAGCATCGGTTCGTCAAAGGCAAGTCTTGCCTGACGAATTTGCTGTTCTTCTTTGACGAAGTACCTCTCAGACTAAACCGTAGTGACCCTGTTGAAGTCTGCTATCTGGATTTTGGAAGGCATTAGACTCGGTCAACCATGGTGAGGGTAGTGGCACAGAAGCTACACTCTTCCAGTCATTCACGTATATAACGACTACGGTGATCTTTCCGTCTGTCAAGAGCTGCACGTGGCCTCCTGCTGCTAACATGGCATCTCGGTATCTAGGGTTTTAAAATTCTACCAGCGTTGGTCTTTGTTACCTTCGCTGCCAACTTGGGAGGTTTCCCTCCATTTCCGAAGGGGCAGAATTCGCTTGATGTGGACATGTCCTGAGATAGTAGCAAGGCGCAAGATGTTAACTACCTGTTGGAGTGGGTCGTGTTCGCGCTTGCGCGTCTCCCGACAGTGTAATTCAGCCAGGTTTCTGATCACGACGTTGCAATTTCTGCCGAAAGCTGTGTCCATGTTCGCTTCTAGCTTTCTTAAGACGCTGCCCAGTGAGTCAGTGATTGTAATTGGTCGGCTTATTGAAGCCTCGTGGTCGTCTATGCTGTTACGGTGCGACTCGGACGTCAAGGCTGGTTCATTATTGCATGGGTTTGGAAGATTACTGTAGCTGATCGTGAAGAGAACATGATCAATATATGATTGTGAATTGCTCCAATAAATCAACACCATTGCAGATACAAGGATCATAGTGAGCTCACGAGAAGTTTCCTCAAGAGAACTCAAATTAATGCAAATCATGTTCCGGCTAGGGAAAACCTTGAATCATGAAATTGTGGTCTAGTATCCACTGGTTCAAAAGGTGAACAATAAGACTTTCAACAGACCTTTTACAGTGACCACCAAGATATATTCTATGATTCTCCTCATCAAGTCAAGTCAAGTCAAGTCAGCTTTTCCGGAATAACTATCGCTGTGATCCAAGTTGAACCGTTCATTGTCAGAATTCCCTTTTGTGATTCTTATTGGAACTAAACACTGGCAAACGTACCGAATTCCGCGCAGTGCTCTGAATGAAATTGGAAAACCGCAATAAACAACGTGGCTGGATTGTAGCGCAAAACGAGAATGCATAAAAATATCGGATTCAATGAAACAAACAAACTGTAGTGAATGCTTTTTTTCGTGTATTACGTCACGTTCTTCTTTGACTGAACGTCGACGCGCGTTGCTTCCACACACTTCCACCTTGGTCGTTCAACTCACCGTGCGACGCCACTGTATTTTAAGTTCAAATATAGTGCTTTGGTCCAGGTCTCGAAGTCTAACTTCTATTTCGTTTACGTTGGCCGTTGAAGTTGCTTGTTCGTACTGGGTAATCGTTGCGACTCGTGGGGAGTGTCCAGGTTCTATAAAATCGTTGAGACATCCAAACAGGGTCACGCATGGACAGAGCCAGTGCTTCCTTAAAAGTTATCTGTCAATGTTGACTTACGGTCACGGGTTGTCCTGGACAATGCCTTTTGAGCGGGTTCATAAAGTCGGAGTTTGTTAAACACCGGAGAACAGGAATAAAGTAAACAAAAACATAGGTTTGCACAAATTATTTCCACTCATCTCACCGTATAATTATTAGTTCTTTTCAAACTCATTGGTATCTTTCTGATACCAACTCTTACTTTAACAATTGAGCGTTAAATCATGGAAGTGTGAATGATGGTAGCAAAATGAGAATGAAACTGATGAATGCGCACACTTTCAGGCGGAACTTATAGAAGCAATAAAATCAATGAAGTAAATAAGTACACCGTGGAACTTTTGTGAATGATCAACTTCAGGAGCAATGAATGACCAATAATCTGTACAAATGCAAAGTCCCTTGAAATTAGGGGTATTTAGAGATGAAGACAATAAAAACCATAGCACTAAGTAAACCGGATAAGGGAGCCGAAATGGTAATCATGAATAGATCCAATTAGATTCACAAGTTGTTAAGCGATGAGACTAAATTTATTCATCTTCCCAATAACCCTGACAAAGCCGCCCATATTTAGAGGCAAATCACTGATAGCCTCCTTTTTCTAAAGGATCAAAGTCACCTAAATCCATTCACTTTTGAAGCGATTAAGCCCTGTGGATCCACGATTCCATGTCTTTACGGGTTACCAAAGGTTCACAAGACGGCGTTACATTCACGACCTATTCTATCAGTGATTAACTCTCCATATCACGGCACCGCGGAATGGCTCGCTAAAATTCTGAAGTAAATCCGACGCCGAATAGCCAAATATAACCTACGGGATACGTGCAAACATGATCGAAGAACAGAAGATTAACGACGATCAAATGTTTTCTCTAGATGTCGTTTCATTATACACGAAAGTTTCGCCCATGGAAACGGTTGATTTCGTCTGTAACTTAATCAAAGAAACCGAAATTGATATAAGAGTACCGGTAGGAAAACTGAAAGAACTGCTCCTGAAATGCACTTTTAATGATCACCTTCTATTCAATGGAAAACTGTATCGTCAAAAAGCTGGTGTCGCTACGGGCTCTCTACTAGGACCGATATTAACGGATGTGTTCATGGCCAGATTGAAGAATTGTAGTATTGTGAACAGCATTTGAAATGGAGCTCCGGAATTCGTGCAATAAAAATCCCCAAAATAGAACAACTTCGAATGGAATAGCACACATACTTTATTCGAATCATAAACTATGCATAGTCAATGCATTTAAAGTGAACAAAAAATTTTCCGAGGTCATTGTCACACATCACACTCGCCGCACCTTGAATTGACCACAACACATCTGTTATCCAGTAATGATGTTCGACATTATGTTCAACAGTGGTATCCAGTTGCTCAGTATCTAGAGGACCATCATAAGACTCGGAATTTTCATCACGAAATGCAACTGACTGACTAGGAATATCAAAGCGAATTTGGTCCGCAAGTCTCCGATGTATAATCAAATCATTGCTGTCGAGCAGTTGAAGTATTCTCCGAAATAAAGACTTTAGGAAAATTCCTGAAGAGAGTTAAGAGATGGAGGATGCAATTACGCCACCTGTCACAGCGACCCGTTCTCTAATTCCCCCGTGATTCTCGCTCATCCGGTATGATACAGGAAGAACCACCAGTCTGTCGAAGGAAAGTATATTGTTCCCTAAAAGCACCGGAGTTTTAGCCTGACTATGCTCGAGAGTGTCTGAAAGCGAAATGTGCTTAGCGAGAGAAGGTGTAGCACTGAACTCACGCACCGTTTAATGTGAAAGTTACTTCACCGGAGGTGGCAGTGACTCAAACAAAGATAAAAGACCTAGCTGCAGAAGCGGTCTCAGGATATCGCAGATCCTGGCGGAATCTATGCTACAAAGGGGAAGGATGCACGAGCGAATGCTCCAAGTAACCAATGCCTGGAACTATGTGAAAGTATGCATGCGGAACAGCCAGAAAAAGATGGTGACAACTCTCGAGCTTGTTACACTGTCGGTCTCGAGCCACTCCAGTGTAACGTGGGTGAGATGGGTCAAGTAGTATTCTGGTAGAAATTTCAGGGACGCCCCACACTACTGTGAATTAATAACTTGCAAACGTGCTCACGAGGTGTGCCGCTGCATTGACGTACTGTGGTAATCTGTACATCTGTACTGTGGAGCGTAAAGATGGAGGAATGATTGTTCAGTTATTGAGACATAATATTCCATCACGAGTGACTGAGAGTTCTTCACGGCGTTTATAAAACTCTGGGAACCGGCGCTTGGTGTNATCAGATGTACCAGGCTCCTCTGACAAGGCATAACGCGATAAATAGTCCACGTGTTGAATCAATTGAGCCTTGCGATGTTGAATATCGTAAGAATAACCGGCTAGTGTGACGCTCCATCGCTGTACCATGGCCGCTGATGACTTTGCCAGAGATCAGTGGGGATTATAAATGAACTTCAATGCTTCGTGGTCCGATATAATTGT